AAAAGCCACAAGAGAGCAGCTCATCGATGAGGTCTCTTATGGGTATTCAAGCAATGGCAATACTCAAACACAAGTTTGCAGCCATCATATGTATATATACATGTGTGTGTGTGTGTGTGTATATATATATATATATATAAATGACAATAGGAAAACTAGTCATTTATATTTATAAATATTGTCTTTTCTACAGGTTAACTCTGAGAAATTTTCATACATGTGTGTGTGTGTGAGAGAATATATATATATATATATATATATATATATATATATATATATATATATATATGTATTTTAAAATTTAAAAAATAGACAACCTTAAGGGTCCATTGATTATATTTATTTCCCCAGGAAGGTGTTTTTCCTGGTTCCTCAGATCACATTTCCCAGCATGAAAATGGTTTTAAATTTACATATTATTTTTATACGCTTTTGAGGTGTAGTTTTAAGTTGATGTAAGGTGATAGAGAGAGGAGGAGGAAGAGGATAACAGATATGGTTGAAATTAGAGCAAGAAGGGCGAGATAGGAATAATTTTAAATCGATTTTTATTAAAATACTTAAGAGTAAGAGAGTGGGGTAAGGACCAGACATTGACCTATTTAATAAGTCATCTGACAGGAAAAGAGACAAGAGAAAAAAAAAGGTGAAAGATATAAGAAAGCAAATATGAAAGCAGAGGTGGGAGGAAAAAATTGGGGAAAGAAGAAAAGGAAGAATAAATATATATAACATATATAGGCATATTGCAGTTAATTTCAAAAACACAGATTGATATAATTTACAGTTAATGCTTGACATTAATTTAAAGATTACCAATAAAATAAAATAAGATAAAAGGAAAAATAATATGTGAATAAACAAAAAAATTTAATATTATTAACAACTAAAAAGTAAAAAATTAATAATTAAAATCTAAAATAGTATTGAAAAAATACATAATATAAAAAACATTGAAATGAAACAAAATTTAAAAATAATATTCAAATATCATAATAATAATAATAAAACTACCAATGAGAGGAATAATATTAATAATCAACTAATCATAATACCAATGTGAGGAATAATGGTAGAGTAATAATGATGAAACAGTAATATTAGATCAGTTATAACCCATTTAACCATATATATTCCTGTATTTATGTACATATAAACACACACATATACAAATACCTAAACACCCACACACACATACATACACTATATATATATATATATATATATATATATATATATATACATATATATATATACATGCATGTATGTATGTATCTAAACATACAAATACAAACAAGTAAATACTTCCATATAAACGCCTTCATGCACATACACACACGTGTATACTTATAAATGCCATATAATCATCTACAAATGTCAACACAATTATAACACATATCAACACACATATGCACATATACAGTATAACATAAGCAATTAATCCTATATATAGACACCAGGTGTTATTTCATGTCTAGATAATTTAAAATTCCGGAGTTTCCAAGGACCGGCCTCCCAAATATTAGATGTAGTTTGTTATTTTGAGACGATGTCTGTGCCTGCATTTGAAGATAATTTCATTGCGGTGATTTAGTAATTCCTCAGGTTCATTATGTTTGATTATTAAGATTATTATTAATGCAGAGGTCACATCTGTCTCTAAAGTTTCTAGGAGTTCAAGCCCTAGAGATAATTCTCCATTTCAACTGTGAGGTGAAGCGATTTTCCACCAGATCCCAATAGTATTTAAACAGCACTGTTTGGTGTTTAAGGGATTCATTCATGGCAATGGTTATAAAGGTGCTGCTTCCAATTCCCAGCAGATATTCCAATATAATCCTTTTTTTGGTTTGTATTCTCTTTGGTCAAGATTGTGGCTACATACACCTCATTTTCCGTCATACATAATCATCCCACTGGGCATTCAGATTTTACCCTGCAATTATAGGTAGAAATATTTTTTGTAATTGATTAGTATTAAATTTTCTAATAATATTATTGTAGGAATTTATAATTTTCTCCATATTGTTCACACATGAGTAATTAATTTTCAAGTTCATTTTATTAAAGATTTTTTTCAGTTTTTACTAAAATGTTTATCTTTTAAATTTAAGAAGTACTTTCCTATAATGTTGGATAATTTGCAGAATGGAGGGTTGGACCATATAACCTTTCTTTTTCTATTCTTGGATTTATTGGATGTATTGTTAGTCGTTTTTTTTAGATAAGTTAATGTCTGTTGGAATTGACTCTTTATGAGGGCTTGATTATATCTAAATTTGTTTTCATTAAATATTTTGCAGCTAGAAGACAGTTTGTTTATTCTGGCATTGACTGTGTTGGGAATTTGCTTTATGACTACTTTGGGGTGGTTCAAGTTGATGTTTACATGGGAGCTTGGTTTTCTTTTTGGAAGGGTTTGAAGGTGTTATTGTAGAGATTAAATGTAACATCCAGAAAATTAAGGATTTTAAGTTGGATGATATGTCAATTTTAAATCTCAGAAATTGGAAGGCCTTAATGATTTTTTTTCTGTAGTTTGGAGGTTAGAGGACCATTGGTATTAGGTATAACAATGAGTCCATCATCTCTCTACAGTCATACGTATTAGGGGTCCAAGAATCTACTTAGAGTATCTAAAATGTATATACATACTAAATCTGCTATTTGGGCTGAATCATATGTTCTCATGGGAACATCCAAATTTTCATTGTTTAATATATTAATATATATTGTTTAATATATTAATATATATTGTTTAGTATATTAATATATATTGTTTAATATATTTAATATATATTATATTAGTATTTAATGACTCCAAGGGGAGTCATTAAATACTAATATAGACTGTCTGGAAGCCATTATAATTTTTATTTCGTCATTGGTAATGTCAATATAATTTTTAGCAAAATCTAAGCTATTTTCTAATAGGTTCTTAGAAATGGAAGGATGGAAATCAATAATATCTAATTGAATAAATGAAGCTTTTGTCTTAGGGTTTATATTCTGGAACCTTTTAATGATATCCAAGGAATCTTTCCAAAGCTTTACAGGGTACTTTTCTAGTATTGATGTGTTTATTTTTTTAAGGATATTCTTGGAAATCAGACCTAACTCAGATTTGGAGGGATTTATCAATCAGAACTGCAGATTATTTTGAAAATTGGGTTTATGGTCCTTAAGAATTAGGTAGGCATTTTTCATGTGAGTTGTACACACCCTATCAGTGATATCATATTTATAGGATAATTTAGCAGTTTCTTTATTTATAGAGGATAAGGAATTACAGTTCCTGTTTTTTTTTTTATAGGAGCTAGTGATTTTATTTAGAATGAGATAGTGGTATTCAGAAGGATCAATTTTGTAAATGTTTTGGGATTTATCAGCTTTAATCCATAAGTTCATCGAGTTTTTGATATCACTGTCTTTTTTTGAATTGAGATTGGAACTAGTTGGATTTTTTTTTTTTAAAGATATGTTTTTAATTAAATTAATCATGTCAAGTTTGAAGGGATCTAACAACTTATTACTAGGTGGAGTGTTTTGGGATTTAAATGTTTCATTTCAGTCTTTAGGTTTGCTGTAAGGGTTAAAGTGGAAGTAGATTTTCCATCTCATTCTTCTTATGAGATCAATAATTTTTTTCAGTTAAGGAAATGGTAAACAATTGCAAAGAAGGATAAGGGATATTTTTGAGTGAGTAAACGGGTAAATTTTTCCATACTTTTTGTTGAAAATGTGGACTCTTAAAGCAATCTGATGGGAAGTAATCCCATGAGAGCTCAACTTATTTGTATAAGGAGCCAATAGTTAGGTAATGAAAAGTTTAGTATCCATATGTATAATACCGAGGATGTAATCCAGAGAGCTCAATGTCAAACCTGAGCGAATATTAATTTAATTAAAATTAAAAAACAGACTACCTTAAGGGTCCATTGACTATATTTTATTTCCCCAGGAAAGTGATTTCTTCTTGGTTCATATATATATATATATATATATATATATATATATGCGTGTGATTAGAACATTCCCTTTCTGACCATGTGACCTGGGTTCAGATGTCACCATTGTCAATTTGTCAGGAAGGCAATTTCCTGATGTTATTGGACTGGATTGAGGCTGATCCCAGTATGTAGCACCTTTGGAAAGTGCCAAACCATACCACAGGTTGATCCAAGCCATGTGAGTGAAATTGGGTAGAACTCTTGTGGGTCATCAATAGCTGTGCTACCACAAGTCATCATGGCCAAGGGCTTGAGCGTGCTGGCCTTGTTCATATTGTTGATCATGCTAGATAACACACTCTCTCAGAGAAGCTGTAACTAAGGTCTGCTCAGTATACTTGCAGTATCAACCACAGATGGTCTCTGTGTGTTGAGCAAACATCTGCAATAGGGATTGGCTAGCCGCCATAGTAGGCAAGTGCCCTCGAATACGAGTGGCCAGCTATTATATATATATATATATATATATATATATATATATATATATATATATATATATATATATATATTGGTTAAATGTAATGATTACAAATTATCTTGGTTACGGTTATGTTCAAGAAAAACAATGGATCTACTTAAGCAATGTTAGCTTTTGTGTGATGTGATCAGCCTGGTTGCTTTTGATCACTTTTTCAGAAGAGATGGCTAAATCCTTTTTCTATAGTATTTGATAACATCATGATGCTGAATTCTGTCCTTTTTGAAGAGAAGCCTCTACTCGTTACATTTGAAGTCTTCTTTGAACCAACAAATGCCAGTTTGCCTAGAACAAAACAATGCAGAATGCATACAAGTTTTTTTATGTCTAGGTCTTCACACCTTCATAATCAGCTGATTAAATTTTCATTCCACTCTCATATACATTGCATATTATATGTGTGTGTGTGTGTATATATATATATATTACAATAATTTGTTGATTCAAAATTGTTTTCCCTGATTGTACTGATGTTCATGAAATTTAAATTTAATTTTTTTTTTTTTTTAAAGTCCTCTTTGGATGAAGCAACAGACCCATGGGGTGTGAAAGTTGAAAGAGTTGAAGTGTAAGTATGATTGAATTTTGAAAGTTTATGCTATTTCTCTTATCTTTAGAGCATTATTAGTACACTAATAATTGTGCAACAAATATGGTTATAAAGTATAATAATTCTTTTTCTCATTCTGTAAAAAAACAATTGTGTGTTTGTATAATATGTACTTTATAAGATTAACCTCATTTTTCACAGTCCCTCATAATTTGGAATTAGTCTTAACAGTTGGTAAAATTGTTTGTAACTTCTTATTAAATTGTCAGCATTGAGTTTTAGAGAGGAATTATGTGTTGAATTGTGCTGAATAAATTTTGCTGTATGAATCCTATTGAAAACACATCATTCAATACAAAGATATCAATCTTTGTTTTCCACTTAATTCAGTACAAATTATGTCTGTTTACTCTGATGATTATGAATAGAAAGAAATGAATTCTTTTCTTTTTTATTTAAGATATATCGAAGGTTTATCCTGATGTTTGTTGTACTTTTCATGGTTGACATTAGCATGAATTATGTCAGTACCTGATTGAGAATTGTTTTAAGAATTTAAAAAAAAAACTGCTAGTGTTTCTTCGCTTGCAGAAAAGATGTTCGTTTGCCTGTTCAGTTGCAAAGAGCCATGGCTGCTGAAGCTGAAGCCACTCGTGAGGCTCGGGCTAAGGTAAGCTACCTCCAACCTAATCATTTACTTAAAGAAAACATGTAATATCAGGTGACAACTACTCAACTTTGAAAATGACTTAATATTGTTAAAATTATTGGTATTGGTAAGTAGTAAATTAAAATAACTGTAAAGGACGAAGTGCTTAAAATAAATGTTATTATTATTTATTCATTTATGTTCAGTGCAGAAAGTATATATTTTAATTCCACATAGCTGTGTTAACTACATATTATATTTAACACATAATTTAATAAAACATGGTCAATCTATTAATTTTCTAAGATAACATGTCCATGTAAATTTAAATCTAAAATCCTGTTATATAAGCACATACCAACTTTTCACAATATTGTATCTGAGCTCACTTGATAAACAGTACAAATATTATTATTTTCCAGCTGAATGGATTGATGGGAAAAAGGAAATAATGAACAATTATATTTTTAAAAGTATCCTTAAGGAGATAGCATGACTAACCTTTTGATATCTTTTTGAAATAATTTTTTGTCATCTGCTAACAAATTAATTTAGTAGAACTGCACAAATCTAATTCTATGTATCTTTACAGTATATTTTTAATCTCCTTTATCACTTTCATTGTTAAATATCAAGAAAAATAGTATATTCTTGCAAATCATTGGATAAATTTTGGGACATCCCATTTAACAATTACTATTAGTTTATTTTATTCATATAAATTTTATAAAACTAATTTAGGATATACATCTTGTATAACCTATGCAGTGAGAATAGCCCTGCACTGATAAACAGTTGTCAATAATTGCAACAGTAGTATATTGCAGTCTACTACATTAGTTTTTATTATGACCTTTTTTTCTAGCCATGTCCATAGCTATCTACAGTGAACATGTGATAGTCCGAACAATGTAAATAGTGTACATATGGGCAAATTGACAAGGAAATCTGTTAACATGAAAATAGCAAAAGATTCCCTACACGTATGTTAAAAGGAAAATCATGGAATTTATAAGGGAAGAATGGCAAACAGAATGAGATACTAATCAACATAATAAACTCTATGAACACCAACCAAAAGGAATTTCAAAAATAAAAGTCAATAACTGGCTGAAAAGAAACCATGCTAACCTGAATTCAAATTGGACATACAAGATTAACCAACATACACTTGCTCAGACGACAAGAAATGCCCAAATGCAACTAAGGATAAAACATAGTAATAGTATAGTAAAGTATAGTAAATACACAATAAATAATACCAAGCTCCGAACCTTAAAACATTGTACCAAAACATAAACCCTGCTAAAATTATAGGTTTCTTGAAAGAATCAAGCCTCTACAAAATAATAATATAAATAAAAATCAAACAAAAGAAATTGAACTGTAACAAGGATTTTGGAGGAAAAAATTGAATAGTAACTACATGCTATGATTAACAAGAAATGTAAAACGGTTTTGGTATTGAATAACTCACAAGTGTTGATATGCCATTAAAATACCACCCAGACGCACACACACACTAGAAATCTCCAAATTTGTATTTGATGGCTCAATTGTAGCTGATTTTCTTTTTATCCACATTAAGGGTACCTAAAAAAAAAAAGTGGTAAGGCACACTTGTCCATGTTGGTTTTGAGGAAACCAATTCCAGAAGAGCAAAACCAATAGCCTCTGCTATTAAAGAATTCATGACTTGAGTTAGTGGTTCTTCTGACAAAATCTGCACCTTTCATCTTCATTCTCATTGGCATGAGTACTACTATAAACCCAATGTTTGTGAAATTCACAAAGAAAACATTGCATAATTCTATCATCAGCACCCAGTGGCTTATTTTTTTCCTCCTATTTTTCCTTGATAATCTATATAACTATAACTAGCTGCTATTATTGCCCATGGTTATGTCTGTTGTGAAGAGCTTCAGCCTCCATATCTGGTATATTCTTCATTAAGGTTTTTGTACAATCACTTCCAGGAACAACCACAATCCTGTCGCTCTTCATAAATAGTTCCTTCAGCGTTTGCCTCATGTCATTTCTGGTGTTGTCAGTAATGTTAATTGGAAGTGTATATCACTTGGGTTGCAGCTCTTCAACAACCTACATGAAAGTATGGCATCATGTTGACTAATAAATTATATAAAGTCAACATGATGCCATACTTTCATGTAGGTTATTGAAAATTTAAAATGGAAACACAATGGAAACAATGAAGAATGCTTAAATGCTTTTGATAAACTATGAGAAAAGTATTTAAGTATTCTTCATTGTTTCCATTGTGCTAAATAAGCATTAAAGCATCTCCAGTTGTTAATCTTGCACATGGTCAAGTTTTTCAATAAGCAACTGGTATCCATTTTCAGTACTTATTTCTGGTATGTATTATGCAGATGATGTAATTATTGCTCTGCCAGTTAAATTCAGATTTATTGCAATAGCCAGTTTTTCTCTTTGCAAATCTGTATACAGTGTCCATAATTTCAAATTTTTTCCTCCAGGTTTCATAATCCATTTGGCCTTCTTTAAACTCTGGCAGAGTTTTCATCTCACATGATATTTTAACTACTCTCTGCTACCAAATGTTATGGTTTACTAGCCAAATACACTCAAATCATCTCTATCTAAATGAATATAAGGAGTTTATTAAATAGGAAGTGCTAATTTTAATTTGTAGGTGGGCCAGCCTATTATAAGAATATTATATACATTTTTGTTAACTTGAGTTCCTAAATTCAATCCTCATAACATTCATTATTCAACAATAGCAATTCATAGATAATAAAGAAATTTGTGGAGGGCCATAGTTGCCTATGTCCTGAAAGGATATGATATTTTAAAAAAATGTATATTTACTGATCAGTATACCAAGTAATTTGGTTGTTTTCTAAAATTATGTGACCTGTTAAATGAAATATATACTCTTAATTTATTTTTTCTATAACATATTCATTCACAAACTTTAAATTTGTATTTGTTAAATTTGAAACCTGTAAAATACTTTAAAAGCACTACTTTCAAAAGTCATTGTAAGTCAATAGCTGATTACTTTATTAAGTCTTTAATGCTGCTGTTGTTTTTCTTTTTAAGGTTATTGCTGCTGAGGGAGAACAGCGAGCATCACGTGCTCTGAAAGAAGCAGCTGATGTCATGTGTGAATCTCATGTTGCTTTGCAGCTTAGATATTTGCAGACACTAAGTACAATCTCAGCTGAGAAAAATTCTACTATTATTTTCCCTCTGCCAATTGACCTTTTGCAAAACTTTGTGTCCAGGCCTTCACCTGATAAAATCCATCTATAATTGGGAAGTTGAATTTTAAAATATTTTCTTTTTGATTATTTTCTTTTATTTTTTAATGATTACTTTTTTGTTTGACTATTTTTAAGATATTTTTCATAATTCAATTATTGTTCAACAAAATGTATATCTACTCTTGCTACTACTACAATAGTTACTGTGTTGGAATGAAAGCACCAATAAGAATTGATATTGATAAACTTTTTTTTCATTTTTCTATTTTTTTTTTTTTTTTTTTTTTGTATTCAGACTGGGGTGGATGGAATAGTGCAAAAGTAAAATTAGCTTGACAATTTTTTTTTATTTCTATGAAAATATTTTAAGAAATTATACATTGTTCAGTTTTCCAAATTTTTTTGTTTTCGTTTGCTTGGAAAATGGTCTATAGTCAAGTTATGATATCATAATCCATTACTCATTGGTTCACTTGGGCTATAGATTTTATACTTTATTAATTTTAATCAACTAATACATTTATTACAGGGCTTAGTTATTTTTGTAAACATCTTCATACAAATGACAATTAGTCATTATTTATATACCAGATATGCATACAAAATCCATATTAAACAGATTATTAATAATATTGTTGTTTATTATATTTCTTTATTCTTCTTTTCATTCTGATGTTTTTGTAATCAGAGCAAACACTGTTACCATTTATGAATGAAACCAAAGTGTTAAAAGAGAAAAAAAAACAGGTGTTGATTTTTCCCATTTGAAAATCCATCTTATTATCTTTGCCTATCTCTCTTGGCATATTTTTTACCAACAGAAGATGAAAACAGGTTGATACATTTTTGTTTATTCACTTGAAACTGCTTCGCAAAAATGAAAAGATTAATCTGGGTTAAGTGATGGAAAGAGCGGTTTTTGTTTCATTTAGAATTTTACATGACTCACTGATTAAAACCAGCTACACAGTTACATCTGCGTTGAGGCTTATGTCCCATGATAAACATCCATGAAAGTAGAAACTTTCTAAAGGAATGGATGTTATCTACAGCTTTCCATTATTTTCTCTTTGTACATAGGGTGTTTAATCTGAGATGGATTAAACAATTTTAAAGATATTTTTAAAACTTTGGAAAATTGTTGACAAAATTGTTTCATGAAGGAAAAAAGTATAAGTACCAAAAAATGAGAACTGATTTTGATGAATTTTACTAAGGTTTGCTAGAATTTTCTTTCATAACATAATTAACTCCAAAATATTCACCCAACTTGCAATTTATCTTTACTTTTGTACCCTAATTTTCTAATGCTCTTTGGAATATTATTTTGCCAATATTACTACTATTTAAAAGCAACTTCTGAAAAAAACTATCTGATAACTGTGTGTGTGTCCTCTCTCTCTCTCTATATATATATATATATATATATATATATATATATATATATATATATATATATATATATATATATAGCTATAGCTATTTCATTTCTAAAGTAAATTTTTATATTTTATAACCCTAGTGATATATAGTTTCTCATGTATGCACAAAGGACATGGGCCATTTAATGACCTACATATTCTAGCTTTTCTTAATTTTTTTATGACCCATGTTCTTTGTGCATACATGAGAAACTATACATTACTAGATTTATAAAAAATAAAAGTTTACTTAAAGAAATGAAATAGCTATTCTTTGCTGACATTGTCAAAAATTTTCCTTAAGTAATGTTTAAATAAAAAGAACTGATAAATGAAATATACATATTTATATTTGATATTTAATAATAATTTTTAAATAATTTAAGTAATTCTATTACATTCCTTTGTTTTAGTAATTAAAATTAAGAATAATATTTTAAAATTGTAGTTCAATACGTGTTCATAGACAAACAACACTTTTAGAAAAAATCTTTATGTATACAAGTACAAATTTAATAGTGAAACAAAAGTACCGAAAAACTTTTTATCATTGAAAAAGACCAGACGACATGCGTTGAACGGATGTCATCATTCATTTGAAAAGGGGCCACTACCCTACCTTGACTTAAGCTCTTTTCAAAAGTAACTCGTATTTTGATCCAATAGTTGTAAGTGATAAAGAATACCCTACTGCCCCTTGTTAAAATGATTGGATTTCCTCATATCCATAGAAACTAATATTATGAATGTATGTACTTATAAAACCCAGTAAATTTCAAAATAAGTTTTTCCAAAATTTGCTTGAAAATGAAACAGAACTAGGGACTTTAATTTAATTCTATAATTGAATTTGAAGTTGTTAGCTTCTGTTTTTGAAACATGGTAATTCCTGTGTAGTGATGGAACCATATTTTTAAATAAGTAAATTTATTATAATATATATATATATATATATATATATATATATATATATATATATATATATATATATATATTATATAATTTATAAATTACAAGTCAATCAACTCATTAGTAATGATTGCTGACTGGAACATAACCATTCGCCTCATCCAAATAGATTTTCCTTCTGACACCACCCATTTTGTTTACTGTTGGGCTATCCAACATTGTCCTACACTTGTCTGTGAATAATACTTTCTGGAAATCCCATTCTATATACTATTTGGCCCAGTTGACATGATTAATGATAATGAGGTGATTTGACTTGAAAGGAGTGCAAACGATTGATTTGGTAAACATTCCTAAGCACTTCAGTTTATCTAGTCATTATATTTAAGAGCCATATGTAGCCCCAATAGCTTTAAATAACTCTTTACTACTCTTTAGTGACTGCTAGTATAACTCAATTTTCAGTTAGGTTTTTATTCATACTGCATAAAAATTTTAAATGGTAACAATATCATCAAAAAAGCTGCTAATTGTTTATTGTTGTACAGAATCATATTGTTACAAAACTTTTGACCAAAGTGAGTTCAAATCTATGTAGCCAATAAGATCTTTTGAAAAAATTTGACTTGCATAAAATATTGGAATGTATGTTCATATAAACAGTAAAATTAACACTGCCTGATTCCTGGCAGTTTTACACCTTAAGCAATCAAAGCTAAGTCACTATGCAGTGTTAATATCTATACCTACACTGTTTATATGAACATAGATTCTCCCCAATTCTAAATATAGCAAATTTAGTTCAATAAATTAGTTCTACAATGTGATGTGTGCATAATGGAGTTGGTTTTCTATTTTTACATCTTTCATATATTCACAGCAGATGAAATAGACAATAATTTTAAAAAGATTTACTCATTTTTTTTCACCAGCAATAGCAGTCTAATCCATCAATAAGGATGGATTGTAATCAGTATAATTGCACAATATACTGATGATGATCTTACATTGAAAAATAAATATCCTGTTTACAGCTAATATAACCAGTTTTATGAAGTTTTCATTTCTACTTGAGTTAGTGATGGAAAAACTTAAAAATGCATAGATAACATACAACTATTTTTATCACATTTATTCAATTTTTTCAATCATTGATGGAAAACATCTACATTTTTTTTAAGTCTGCCTCTTAATAGTGCATATTCATCCAATATTATTTTGTATATTATAAACTTTTGCTTTGTTTTTGTTGTATTATTCAATTGATTTGAAAAAAATCTCCTTGCAAGAATAATTGAAAATGTAACAACTGCAACAGCAAAAAAGTTTATAGTCTTAAAACAAAAACCAAACTTTTCATGTTGTCTAAGGAGAGAGAGAGAGAGAGAGAGAGAGATTTCTATTTGTTCAGACTAATGGTGAGTCCATTATCAGATATTCATCTGAATTAATTGTACAAGCTTCACAATAACTGATTGGTTTGATGTCAGTTTTCATTCCAGTGCCTTAACCTGGGTTGATCTTTAACTTTAAAAGCTAACATATCTTACATTGGAGCCTGTCAAAATAGGCTTTGAACAAATACATGTACTGTACAGAGAGGGGAACCCAGTTGTGTTGAAGAGGATTTTTATCAAATGTATGCTATATTTTCAAAACTAACAACATTTGACTGTATGTCAATAATTGTTGCTCATTTTATTTCTAAGTGGCCTCCTGTTATTTTCATTGTCTAGAATTATTTAAAGTGAAGGTGACCTTGCCACTTTCATGAGCCATGAAAGAAAGATTGACTATGAACATGCATACACTTGATCTATTAATATATTTGTAAAATCCAGTTGTTACACAACTGGATTTTACACTGGAAACATTAAATTCTTTTATGGGTGACATTGCTTATCATTCAGTCTACTCAAATACAAAGCTCCTTCTTTTTCTCTTTAGTCATTTTTAGACTTACTACTCAAGAACTATCAAATGCTACCTCCCTGTTTCTTGTCCTCTCACTGCTAATCATACTGATACTATGTGTTAATATATTTACACACAATGCTTATAATTCAGTTTTTCTCAGGCTTTGTATAAATAAATTATTTATTTATTACATAAGAAAATTTATACCCTTTAAAATGGATTCTTAGCAAACCTTTTCATGCTATGATTTTTGTAATTTAACTTGCAGATTTATAACCAAATCTTCACATTTTTTTCAAATTTACTTTTTTATGGATAGCTTAAATTTCTGGAAAGGATAACATTGAATTTTACGGATTTTGCAATCTTTGTTACTTTTGTTTATAACTTAGACATTGTGCAAATATGTTAGAACTTTTGCCACCTTGACTTGGTGCATTGATTTACTTGAAAACACCTGTATAGGTAAGTATTTGCAATCCTAATTTTAATGCAAATAGCTTACTAAATAAATGAGACTTGTATATACATCATTATCTGGTTAAGGAAGTATGGTTTACATCATTAATCAAAGAAATGGAATTTTTTTGTATATCTAGTTATCTTTGTTAATGGTTGCAAAACTTAGCATCTATGAAATGTTTTCAACCTTTGACTGTACTCATTCTCTGCACTGATTGTTTCTATTCAGCATTTTACTCTCATGGAATGATACTCTTTTATCACAAGCTATTGCTAGCAACTTGACTCTTTTACAAATGATAAAGACTATCTGAAGATATTTTTTTTTATCTGATACAGT